GAAGGAAGGAAGGAAGGAAGGAAGGAAGGAAGGAAGGAAGGAGCAAATCCCCATTTGGCTCAAACTAAGGAGAACTTTTAGAGATAGAGCAGAGATGAGGCTCCTAGGTGGCAGAATGACAAAACCAGAAAACAGACAGCCCCAGAAAAGAACCCCCAAGAACACTAGAAAGGTTGAGGGAGATTCGAGACTTCATGCAGCTCTAGGCGGGAGCCCTGCAAGCATTACCCGGCTTGTAAGAAGCAAGGAAGTCCACGTGACGCAGGAGTCGCCTAAACGGTCTCTGGCTCCGGTCTCCAGGCTGTGCCGGACTGAAACCTTGCCTCTCATATGCGCTCCCTTTGCTCTCACAACATCCGCACATGGATGGCACAACTAAACAGAGACCCGCAGAATTTAGCCTATGTGAACGCGCAATCCTATGTATGAAGCTTTGAACATATATGACTATATGCACATATGTATTTTATAGATGCATATTTCATTATCCCTAACACCTTTGCCGATCAGACTGGCCACTTAGAAAACGACGCCGGCGTCGTCTCTTCTCTCGCGTCTTTACTTACCCACAGATTCTGGCTTACCTGGCATCTGACTTACCTACGAGGACACGAAATGCTACCACATCCAAAGGGTGTAAATGTCCCCAGGATAACAGGATTCGGCCAATCACTGAATATGTTGGTGTACAGGCCACCCCAAGGAAGATCAGAGTAACTTTGGCAGACAGCCAAGCGGCCAGAAGGATAGGTGAAATCCAGGTTAAGGAATTGACATTGCTTGAACAACATGAACGTTAATGGTTCTTCCTTACAAAGATATTGTCTTTCCCGCATACATTCTATTTTTATTTTATTTATTAATATTTTGAAACAAGGGTTTTTTGTTGTTGTTGTTGTTGTTGTTGTTTCGTTTTGTTTTGGGGCTTTGAGGGGAGTGTTTGTTTTTGAGACACAGTTTCTCTGTGTAATAGCCCTGACTGTCCTGGAACTCTCTGAACTCTGAAATTTTGTAGACCAGGCTGGCTTGAACTCACAGAGATCTGACTACCTCAGTCTACCAAGTGCTGGGACCACGCCTGGTTCTGAGATAAGGGTTAACTATATAGCCCTAGCAACCCTCAAAATCATGATCCTCTTGCCTCCGCCTCTCAAATGCCAGGATTACAGGCACACTCACCATACCTCAATCTGCTATTATTTTTTTTAATCAGTTATTTTTGGGATAAGACAGTGGGGAGGCTAAAGAAGGCGACTCTTTCCTATAGCCACAGAGCCTGTCAATGGCGGAGTGGACCAATGTACAAGCTTCCTTGACTGCTAGATGCATGCTCTTCCTTCCCCCAGCACGGTCACATTCCTGCACATTCTTGTTTAGCTCTACATTCTTCTAACACAATCTGTGGATTCTAAGAGGGAGTCTAATCAGAGTGGTCCTGATAATGACCACCAAATGGACGCCAAAGTGTCTGGGTACTACCTAGTGCCACCCGATGATAATGATGCTGTCCCAGCAAAGAGCAGTGTAGACAGATTCCCCCCATCAGCATCTATGGGCAGATCCAGGCCTAGTGGGGACTGAGGACTAACAACAGATCTGTCAATCATTTTGCAAAACTGGCCTGTACTAATATCTACAAGATGGACTGTAACGGAATCTCGAAGGCTTTTTTTCATTTTGGCTTTGTAGAAACTGACTCCCCAAATCCCTCTTTTCTTGAAGCCAGTTTCTCTAGCTGCTAAATCACCACATGGTCCCCATTTCTCGGTCAGAAAATGAAGCAAGTGGAACTTATTTTCTCGGAACCACAAGAGCCCTTGGATGCTTAACAAAAATACCAGAGGGTCTCTGAACAAGAAGGAAGGTTTGGAAATCAGGGGCTTGCATCCACTCTGTTTGGGGGCTCCTCTTCCTGACCCAGTGTGTCAGGATGTGAATGGTTGGGGTAAAGGAATTGAAGAAACACTGGGCTCTTCCCAGTGTTCCCATGAGGGAATCTCATGAGGATATTAGGTCAGAGACGAGCCATCTACCAGGGCATAATGGAACTTCTTCATCTCTGGGTTGGCCTCTCCCATAGCTGGCATCTGAGCCTTCCCTACCAGCAATTCCATCCAGAAAACCTGGGGTTCCTGGGGGCACTCTTCCATCTCCTCCTTTTTTTCCGGGTCATTGTAGTGGCGCAGAACCAGCTGTTTGTTGAATCCATCTCTTTTTTGTTTAGCTTCTTCCCTTTTTCTGTGCAAAAGAAAAGAGTTCAAGGTGTGACTACTTTCCTGGTCTTGTCTGGCTAAGGACTCAGAGGTCTCTGTGGCTTCCTCCTGCTCATCTAAAGCAATCAGTTGTCTCTAAATCAGAACTGGATGTTGAAGTAGATTCTACCCAGCCCTTAGCCAAGCCTTCGCTATGCGCTATTTTTAAGCAGTTACTAGGTATCTCCTGTGAGCCTGGTGCCAGAGGCTTTAAGAAAAGGTAGGGCAACCAAACAGCCCCTGACTTCGCAGGGCCAGAAGGAACCACACCGCGAGAATTAAGCTTGAGAACTAATTCTTCCGTGTGGTGTTGAACACTTGAGGCAAAACGTTAACCTCCTCTAAGCCTTATACTCTTGATCTATAAAAAAGGGTAAAATAAGATCTCACAGAGGGACTGGAGAGATGGTTCAGCAGTTAAGAGCACTGGTTGCTCTTCCAGAGGACCTGGGTTCATTTCCCAGCACCCATATGGTAGCTCACAACTGATGGAGAACCTCCTTCACCCAATGGTCTTTAAGAGCCTAGACCAGGTTGGGGCGTGACTTTGGGTACCAAAAAGTCACAGTCCTGCCCCCATCAGCCTCTTCTTCCTGCGCTCTACACCTCGATGTTGGACCCCCGTTCCTGTTCCATGAGTTTTCCCTTTTAATAAAGAAAAACCTTAGAGTACTCTATTTGGAGTTAGCTTGGGATTATCTGACTTGCATTCAGTATCATACAACTGTCAGTAACCCCTGTTCCAGGGGATCTGACATCTTCACACAGACAGTCACACATGCAGGCAAAACACGAATGCACATGAAACAAAAATGTCTCACAGGAATGTAAGTATTCCATGTAGTGCGCACATGCATGCACGCGTGAGCACTCACATCAAGCCCAGTGTTTAGCTTGTGCCCCATAAACACTGCTTGTATTTGGTACAGTTCTGCAGGTGATGTGAATGTGTTATTGATCATGTGATGATCATGGAGGCGGAAGATGAATAGAAAAGCAACTAGTTTCTAGGTTTCCAACCAAGACAGGGAGCCATGCTCTTTCTTAGAACATAGAGCCAGTCATGCACGAATATAAATGGGGCTCCTTCCAACAGGCAAAGCCAGCATTCTTATAAGAAAGAAACTGATTATCACCATTCCAAAGACAGTACCCATGTTACACAGCTACATGTAAAACCAGGGTTCAAGGCCATGCCGTCAAGATCCACCAAATCAGTCAATGAAAACAAGCCCTCTTCGAACCCAGCTCGGCTTTTTGACTCCAACACGTGTGAACATGCTAATGCAGGAAAACCCACCATACATTTGCATGCCTAAGCATATCAGGTAAAGCTGTTTGGCAATATACCATCAAGAGAAGCCGGGAGTCAGGTTTGCAAGGATGAGGTCACACACTAGAGAGACCTCCCTGGCTCTCTGGCAGACCATCGTTACCTATTTGCTCTCTGCATGAACTGGTCTCTATTCCATGGTCTCAGTGACCAGAAGTACATTGCTGGGCTCATGAGACAGGAGCCCAACAATTTAGACAGAATAACAGAATGGAATCGGGCAGGGCCCAGTACTTGAGAAGGATGGGATGGACCAGGACTCGAATTGAGAATGGAAACAGTTCTTAGAGATTTACCATGTTATAGAGAGGTGCTGGGGGAGAATGCTCTTGTACACTGTAAAGATTTGTCACTCATATTGGTTTAATAAAATGTTGATTGGCCCGTAGCCAGGCAGGAAGTATAGGTGGGTGATCAAACTTAGAGAATTCTGGGAAGAGGAAAAGAGAGAGTCAGTCACCAGCCAGATGCAGAGGAAGCAAGATGAGAATGCCTCACTGAGAAAAGAGATCAAGCCATGTGGTTAAACATAGACAAGAATTATGGATTAATTTAAGCTTTAAGAGCTAGTTAATAATAAACCTGAGCTAATAGGTGAAACAGTTTATAATTAATATAAGCTTCTATGTATTTCTTTGGGACTGAACAGTTGTGGGACCCGGGGGACAGAAATTTTCGTCTACAGAGAGGAGCTAAAAACAAATGAATTTCAGAAACAGCCTGAAAACAAATGTCTAAAACTGCCCTGGGCAAGTCTCTTCAAATAGTCACATCAGATGAGGAAGCCTGGTGTTTTCACGTTGAGATGCAATTGAAGTTTCCTCAGAGAGAGCTGACAGACATCAGCAAGGCTCTTGGGGTGTTTGGGAGAACTGGATTCTGTGTGTGTGTGTGTATGTGTGTGTGTGTGTGTGTGTGTGTGTGTCAGGGTTGGGGTGGCTGTATCATGAGAGAATGCACACGTTTGAATTGTGCCAGGAGGGGTTTGGAACATGGAAAGAGCAATTTTGAAGAGGAAAGTATAAAAAGGTTTGAGAACGGGCTGAAGGGATGGCTCAGCCATTAAAAGCCCTGGCTGCTCTTCCACAGGACCCAAGTTTGATTTCCAGCCTCCAGGTGGTTGCTAACAACGGGCTGTAATTCCAGTTTCTGGGTCTCTACCGCCCTCTTCTGGTCTCTGTAGGCATTACATGCATGTGGTAACTGCAGGCAAAAACCCTTGCACATAAAATAAAAAATAAATAAAAGTTAAAATTTTCAAAGAACTGGATAAATAATTGAAAATAATTCAGTTGACTAACAAAAAGAGGAGGTGGGTAATAGCCATGCCACTGTTCAAGAAACCAGAACTAGGGTGGTGGATGTTTGCCAAATGTACCACTTGGTAGCTGGAAAAAATGGAAATCCTGGATTAAAACAATTTCTTCCTCCCTCCCTTTCTCCCCCTCCCCCGTCTTTGTCTGTCTCTCTCTCTCTCCTCTCTTGCTTCCCTCTCCCTGCCTCTCCTTTCTTTCCTGTCTTCTCACAAATGAGAGTCAAATAAGTTATCAAGAATTAGGCAATGTCTCTGTCCTGTGATGTACGGTCCCTGTCTACAGCATTGGAGATGAGGCTGGGCTTCAAGTCTGAGATTGGGGATTCCTACGACTTCTCAGAGACCCATGGACAATGATGGTGGAGACAAACCACACATAGGAAACAAAAAATAAACAAACCAAGAGGGTAGAATTTTTTTTAACGATATGACTGATGCAAGACACTTACAGATTGCGTCAGTGGCACATGTGTATGATACCTCCGTCTATAATCATTGGGGTGGGGGTGGGGCAGAATGGCAGCTTAACAAAGTGCATTTTGAAACCCACCCGGAAACGTGAATCTAATTGCTATTTTCCAAGCCCAGACCCTGGCACTTCCATTTGTTGCCTAGACATGATTCTACTTCTCTTTGATTTTCTGCAGTTTGACCTTTTGAATTGTGCCAAAAGCAATCCTGCCTCTCAGGTGTGAATCCTTTTCAACACCGGGGAGGGCATTCTCCCCTCCTTACCAAGGGGACCAAAAATTAAGACAACGAAAACTCCTGTACAAAAATCCACAAGGTGCAAACTTTTGGGTCTATAACAGTCCTGCCAATCAAATACGGAGTGGGCGGTGATATTCAAAAAAGTTCCCCGTGAGCTTTGGAAAGCGCTGCTTTCTCTGCCAATGACCTTAACAGGTTCAGAGACACAGTGTCCTTTTGTGTGCAGACCGAGAGCCCAGGGTAAGCAAGGGTGACCTTTCTGTTACTTTGCTCATGGCTTTGGCAGTGCCCAATTTCTCCAGCAGGTGAGAATTACCTCGAAATTCCCATAAAATCAGCCTAGGGATCTCAGAACAGGCTAAAACCAGGAAAAGGTGGTCACTGAACAGGCTAGGCAATCTCAGGAAAAGGTGGTCACTGAATACAAGACCAGAAGTATGCATTGAGAATGTGTCGCCCACTTCTAGATGGGAGAATCAAAGTACAGCAAAGACAGCCAGCCCTGGACAGTATGTGAACATACTGTCCAGGGCTGGGGAGATGGGTAAAGGCTGGAGATAGTTCCATTGGTAGAGGACTTGCCTTGCAAGCACAGGGACCTGAGTTGAATCTCCAGAACCCATTTTTTAATTTTTTTAAAGATGTGTTTGTTTATTTATTTATTTATTTATTTATTTATTTATTATGTGTACAGTGTTCTGTCTGTATGTATGTTTGCTGGCCAGAAGAGGGCACCAGATCTCATTACAGATGGCTGTGAGCCACCATGTGGTTGCTGGAAATTGAACTCAGGACCTCTGGAAGAACAGTCAGTGCTCTTAACCTCTGAGCCATCTCTCCAGCCCCAGAACCCATTTTTAAAAAGTCAAGTGCTGAAGTGCACACTTGTAATCTTAGCCCTGGGGAGGCAGATTTGCTGGCTAACCAGCACAGCTTATCTGACAAGCTCTAGACTAGAGATAAACACTGTCACACACACAAAAAATGAGATGGACAGCTCCTGAGGTTGTTGTCTGGCCTCCATACACACAAACACCCTCCACGCATATAAAGACCTGCACACAGATACACATAATTTTGTGTGGTTTATATCTACACATGTGTGTGCATGTGAATGTCTACACACATGCTCATGTAGAGGCCAGAGCTTGACATCACATGTTTTCTTCAATCCATTCCTCTTCTCTCTTTGGAAGTTCACGCTTTCATCGAGGCTAGCCGGCCAGGGAGCTCTACCCATCTACCTCTCTCCATCTCTTCACTACAGTGTATACTCCTGGTACTGCCTTACTCAGCTGCACAATCTCATTCAATTGCTTTCCACAGCTCAGTGATATAGACCCTATGAGGGTCCTGACTTTACACGAGGAGCCTAAAGCTTTGAGAAATCAAATGCCTCCTGTCCCACAGTTGACAAATGAGAAAGCATGAGAGTCGTTCAAACTTCAACATCCAAAGTCTAAACTGTCCTCTCATGGTGACCAGGGCTAAGAAATGTTAGAGGGTTAGAGGTAAAAGCAAGTCAGGGATACCCAGTCTAGTACTGTACACCACCACACTCCAGAGAAGAATGCTGTGGGATCATGCTCTTGTACACTGTGAGATTTGTCACTCATATTGGTTTAATAAAAACGCTGACTGGCCAGTCGCCAGGTAGGAAGTATAGGCGGGGCAACCAGACTAGGAGAAATCTGGGAAGAGGAAAGGCAGAAAAGCAGTCATTATCCAGATGCAGAGGAAGCACGATGAGAATGCCTTACTGAGAAAAGGTACCGAGTCACGTGGCTAAACATGGACAAAAATTATGGGTTAATTTAAGTTGTAAGAGCTAGTTAATAATAAGCCTGAGGTAATAGACCAAACAGTTTATAATTAATATAAGCCTCTGTGTGTTTCTTTGGGACTGAATGACTGCAGGACTGGGTGGGACAGAAGCTTTCATCAACAGGAAAATATGAGAAAAACAAAACCAACTATTGAACCCCAAAGTTTCCCCCCTATAGCCCAGAGCTGGCTGACCCACAGGGACCCTGTTGGGGCTATGCTCTGCTTTAACAAGAGTCTTGGCATCTGGTCTCTGAAGAAATCCACAGAGCCTGTTCCACTATGGACCCGTGACTGGGGTTAGAAAGGATCCTCTTGTTATCTCAGATCTTCATAGACCTTCTATAATGTTCTGTGTTGAGAAGTTACAGTGGGGTGAGAAGATCAAGGTTCCTGTTTGTCAGGACTGCATTCCTTCCCACCAGCCTTCGGTTTCTCTGTGTAGATTCTCAAATGTCAGTGACCAGCGGATGTTTCTTCAGCTGTCTCTCTCACAGGAGGTGTTTTTGCTGTTGTTGTTGCTTTTGGTTTTTTTGGGGGGAGGGAGGTTGTTGTTGTTTGTGTGTGTATGTATGTGTGTTAGGTTTTTTGTTTTTGTTTTTGTTTTTAGTTTTTAGTTTATTATTATTTTTTTTTTGAGACAGGGTTTCTCTGTGTAGCCTTGGCTGTCTGTCCTGGAACTCACTCTGTAGACCATGCTGGCCTTGCACTCAGATCAGAGATCCGCCTGCCTCTGCCTCCTAAGGGTGTGCACCACCACCACCTGGCACACAGAAGTGTTTTGTAATATATATATTATAAAACTTCTTAAAAGCATGGATTCTGTAACTGGCACGTCTCTTGAGAACTAATTCACGTAGCTTTAGCAATTCCCCTTGTTTAGCCGCTTCCTCTCGACATGGCTCCCTGCTTGGGGCCTGCAGCTAGATTCTTTTCTTCCACATTTTTTTCTCTTTCTTTTTCTTTCTTTCTTTCTTTCTTTCTTTCTTTCTTTCTTCCTTCCTTCCTTCCTTCCTTCCTTCCTTTCTTTCTTTCTTTCTTTCTTTCTTTTTTTCTTTGCCAAGCCACCTTCTTTAAACCCACTTCTCTAAAGTTTCCGAAGTTTCCTCTGGCAGATGTTTGAAGTCTTTAACAAGCTTAGGGCATTAGTTCCCACACGACATGGCTAATGCTGTCGGTGTCCTCAGCACCTGCAGATGAAACGACTGACTGTGCCACATGGTAAGAGCATCCGAGTGGTTGACACCAGATCCCACCCCTGATGACTGACTGTTCCCCATGACGATGAGGTTCCGGTTCAGAGCGTCCAGGTGATTGACACCAGATCCCACCTCTGATGACTGATGAACCTGAGTGTTCTGACTTGAACTTTCAACCATTTTGTTTTTTTCAGTTAAAAAGAAACAAGATGGAAAACCAAAATTAATAATAATAATAATGCCTTTAATCCCAGCACTCAAAGAGGCAAAGGCAGGTGAACCTCTGTAAATTTAAGGCCAGACTGGTCTACAGAGGGAGTTCCAGGACAGTCAAGGCTAACATAGAAACCTTGTGTTGAAAAACCAAAACCAGGTTGAGTGGTGGTGAGTTTGAGGCTAGCCTGGTCTACAAGAGCTAGTTCCAGGACAGCAAATTACAGTTAAACCGTGTCTCAAAACAAAACAAAACAAAACAAACACCAAGCCACAGGTCATTATTTATATTAGAAAAGTATAAGGGTTTATAGCAAAATGGAGCAGAAAGTACAGAGTCCTCCACATCCCCCCTTCAATTATGATTTTAAATTTTAAAAATTTACTTGGTAAAAATGACTAACATACTTTAACAGAGAAAGAGCAGCCAGTATGGATTTGTTGCACAGATTCAAGAGAGGAATAATTTGTTTAATACCTCTTGTGTAAGATTCTTTTCCTTACATCGATGCTCCTGTTATTGTGCCCACTTCACAGATGAGAAAAGTGAGGCACAGGGAAAAACAAGTGAATTTCTCAAGGTCACTGGAGTTGACTGAGCTGGAATTTTACCCCCATCTTAGACACCTTGACTGTCCTTCTCAAGTTTACGTACTCTGGACGATGAAAGCGCATCGAAGATGATACAGTGGAATCAAGACTTAAACCATCAGGAGACTGGGAAAGGGTGAGGGGCTGAAAGAGCAGCATTTTGTCTACTTCCTAAGTCTCTAGCGGGTATGAGGTATTAGAGTCAATTCCCAGTACTACACACAAACATCAAACAAAAGAAAACAAAACACCACCTCATGGACACATGTGTTTCACACTGTGTCTTACACAAAATGAGCATTTTGTCAATTTTATTATTATTGGCGTTCAGCTATCGTTACCATTGACACGGAAGGCACAGAGCTATAATCTCACTACCTCACACCATAAACACAAAAATTTCAGTTAAATGTGGAGTGGGAGATAAAAAGAAGGCTGAAATGATGATCCAATCAGTTAAGTTCAGTCCCTTGCTGGGCAAGGATGACGACACTGGTTCAGTCCCTGGCACCCACCCAAAAGCTGGGCATGTTGGGGCACACCTGCAACTCCCCAAAGCTGGGCATGTTGGGGCACACCTGCAACTCCCCAAAGCTGGGCATGTTGGGGCACACCTGCAACTTCCAAAAGCTGGGCATATTGGGGCACACCTGCAACTTCCAAAAGCTGGGCATATTGGGGCACACCTGCAACTCTGGCAATGGGGAGGTAGAGGCAGAAGAAGCCCTGGGGCTTGTTAACTACCCAGTCTAGCAAAATTGGTGAGCAGCAGCTTCAGTGAAAGACCTTGTCTCAAAAAGGTAGAGGGCCAGGTGTGGTGACCTTTAATTCAAGCACTTTGCAGGCAGAAGCAGGTAGATCTCTGTAAGGTCAAGGCCAGTCTACAAAGAGAGTTCTAGGTTGATTGGGACCACGCAGTGAGACCCTGTCTCACTAATAAGACAAGGTGGAGAACAACTTAGAAGGATAGTCAGTGCTGGCCTTGGGCCTTCTCATCACCTGCACACACGCTCGCGAGCACACAGAGGAGAATGTGCATGTGCACACAAAAAATAAAAAGTAGCCCAGGTGGTGGTGGCACAGCATGCGGGAGGCAGAGGCAGGCAGGTCTCTGAGTTTGACGACAGCCTGGACTACAGAGTGAGTTCCAGGACAGCCAGAGCTACACAGAGAAACTCTGTCTCAAAAATAAATAGAATAGAATAGAATAAAGTAAGTATATTCAAGAATAAGAGCGAATTGCTCATAAACATGATGGAAGACTTGAACCATTGACAGCTGTACAGGAGAAAGCAATGAAAGATACACGTGTCAAGCAAGCCAACTGAAGAAGTAAATATTCGACACAAATACTCTCTTTAGTATGGGTAAATACCAAAAACTCAGAGAGCTAGGGGAGCTACACAGATCAGGAGTATCTAGTTCACAGCAGAAAAATGTAAACGATCAGGAAATGCTTTTTGTAAAGTTTAATATCTCTAAGCTGGTGGTGGCACACAGCTTTAATCCCAGCACTGGGGAGGCAGAGGCAGGTGGATCTCTGAGTTTGAAGCCAGCCTAGATCTATAGAGCAAGTTCCAAGATAGCCAGGGCTACATGGAGAAACCCTATCTTAAAACAACTCCCCTCCCTGGGAAAACAAACAAACAAACAAACCAGGGCTTCTCTTATATTGTTGTGGGGGAGGGGGGTTAATAGACTTTCTGAAGAGCAAATGTCTCTAGAACCTTAAAAACGTTTGTATCTCTGAAGGAGTTCTGCCTCTAGCAGTCTCGCTTCAAGAAGAATCCCCAATACACACACACACACACACACACCAAAAAATAAAAATGAAAACAAAAAACATGTTCAGGGTGGTTGTAGAAATATACATGACTTAGAAACCCTCCTGAGCCAGCCATGCTTGGGAAACTCAGTAGCCATTCAACATTTAGCTTCTGCAGAATTTAAAAAAGATGGGGAAATCCTCATGGTCAAATGAAGAAAAATAAATAAAGCAAGATCAAATTGATATTCAAAAGATGTTTTTAGGGTTGGGGGAAATAACTTATGGGTTAAGAATACTAGCTACTCGGGGCTGGAGAGATGGCTCAGTGGTTAAAAGCACTGCCTGCTTTTCCAGAGGTCCTGAGTTCAATTCCCAGCAACCACATGGTGGCTCACAACCATCTGTAATGAGATCTGGCGCCCTCTTCTGGAGTGCGGGCATACAAGGAGGCAGAATGTTGTATACATAATAAATAAATCTTAAAAAAAAAAAAAAGAATACTAGCTACTCTTTCAGAGGATCCAGGTTCAATTCCCAGCACACACACATGGCGACTCGGAAGGAACTGTCTGTAACTCTAGTCCCAAGAGACCTGATACCTTATAAGCATACATAAAATACACGTTATGGGCAGGAATGATGGTTCGATGGTTTAGAGCACTGGCTGCTCTTCTGGAGGCCCCGGGTTCGATTCCCAGCATCCACATGACAGCTCAGAACTGTCTGTACCTCCAGTTTCAGTGGAACCCTCACACAGACACACACACGGGTAAAACACCGATTCTCATAAAATAAAAATAAATAAAAATTCAAAAGTCCTACTTTTAAAAAATAAAAATAAAATATACGTTACATATCTACTACACATATGTGCGGAGGATCGGATGGCGATATGTGTGCCTGCATGTTTGGAGAAGAGGGTTGAAGAAACATGTCAAATGTAAAAATCGTATTATCTTAGTAGAAAGATCATGTTTTTAATTTCCATCTTACACTTCAAATTTAAAACAAAACCGAACTAAACACTGGGCACATGTTACATTTGTAGTCTACCCCAGGGTCACTTGTAACAGAGATCAGGCGAGGAACATGCCCGAAAACATTCGGAGCTCAGGTTTTCTGTCTGACTCTGCCTATTTGCAGCATAAGGTGGCGGGCAGATTGCCACACCGTGGGGTGAGTTAACTTCCTCATCATCAAGAGAGAGACGATTATAAACCTCTCTCCTAGGGCTTCGGGGAGCAGTGTGGGTGGCGCGTGCCAAGCATCAGGCCCACTTTCTAGAACAAAGTAATTGTCATTTGTGCCAGCCATTATCTCAGGCTCCTAAGGGTTAGCTCTGTCCCCTATTGATTGTTACTGTCCTGAGATGTTCAGGGTCCCGTGGTCGATGACAACTCCCTTTTAGGTGGTTGTCGCATTTTTTATAAAAACTATAAAATAATATCCTAGCTGCCTTTCATTTCTTTGGCGTCCTCTTTCCCTCCCTCTTTCTTCTCTACATTTTGGAACACGATTGTGCGTTATAGATCTAATGGCAGTGTGACGTGGTGACCATGTGACCTTGCCGAGTGCCACAGGCCCTTTTTGCTGACCATGGGATAAACCTCACACAAGTACGTTACTGTAAGGATGGAAGGAGGCCCCTACATTTGAACTGTGGTGGTCTGCAATCTCTTCACAGCTCTCTTGAGGTCCGCCTTCAATTTCAGAAGGTCCGGTTTCGTGCAGGAAATCCAACCTTGAAAAAGACAACATCCACATCAACATATCCAGCCCAACATCCACATTGACTTGTCCCTTGACTGTCTATGACACACTTCCTATTACGGGGGCACTTTACTGGGTCCCTGGAGGTTTACATGGTGGAGTTCTGCGGGTCTCGTGTTTTTTCCTGCGTGTGGTTTGTCCTGTGGACTGTGCCTGTTTGCACCCATGTCCTCAACACCTGGCCCATCCCCGAGAGCGGTGTCAGCCCGAAATTCCGATCATACGGGGACATGTATGCACACTATGCAGACAGGATGGGAAGTATGGGGACACAACTGGCTCCCAAGCGTTTTTCCAGGTCAAGAATCCCTCCGCATTTCTTATGGTTGATAGATTTAAGAAAGCAAGACTAGGAGGCCCAGAGAAGTCATCTTGCTTCTTGTATATTCTCTGATTCTATAGCTACTGACTATACCATGCCTGAGCACCAGGGTTCCCTTTTCCTGATGTTCATAGATGTCATCCATCTTGTCAGCTTCTCCAAGAGCGCATAGCATCCTGTCAGTTCCTACAACCATCCTCTTCCTCGGGAGTCTCTTTAGTTACCTTTTCAGAGTTTAAGAACAAAAGTTTGCCCTTGGACACACAAACCTTTGTCCTTGGTTCAGAGTAATCTGATACTGTGACAGAAGGACCCTGAGCTTCTCTTCCAAGAATAGGAGCATCATTGCCACCAAACCTGGCTTCTCAGAGCATGAGAGGAGAGCTCCCAGGGTATAGGGTAGAAACGTCCGAGATGGCTTAAATCAAAGGGGATGCCTCTGACGTTTCCCTGGGAACTGGAGAGCTTCCGTGTCTCACTCTGATCGAGGATGCGATAAAAGGACAGCTCAGAAAAAGCTCTTGAACTTGGGAGCCAGAGGTGACCCCCTCCCCTGACTGCGCAGCAGCGTGGGCCCTGATGAGGAAGGGGTCTTACCATTTTCGAAGCAGATCTTGGATGTTAGCGAGAAGTGAATGACAGAAGGGATGCTGCTTCCTGGGGTGGTCTGGCGGGATAACTGGGTGTAACTGGGGAAAGCTAGAAGTGGGGGAGACAGAGAGATATCAGGAGGAGCTGATGAGAAGCAGAAGATGAAGAACACCACTCAAGAACATCAGCAAATGTCCGTTTATAAAGATAAAGGGGCAACCTTCTAGGTTGTTAGGATGAGGTGTTTCATTTTAATTGGACATGTTAATTAATCAAAGGGGGTTTTTGATTGCTGGACTTCCATTCTTTGATAGCTGGACTTTGATAGCATCAGGAGGAGAAAGCGGCCAAGCAAGGGAAAGGACCTTGGTGGCTAGCTTTAGGAACGTAATCTGGTAAGTTTTAGGCAGAGGGAACTGGGGAGAAGGGCAAGACCTGACAGAGTCATGGCCGCCACACTCAGGCTGGTCAGAGTCCCTTCAAACCCTATCTCAAAAAAAGTAAACAAACAAACAGAAAACCAAAACCACCAACAAAAAAGTACCTGTTAAGTTTGTTGACCCCTGACACTAATATGTCTCTAAGTCCATCCATTTGACATTCATAGGGTGCTGTAGCGTAAGTTTCCTATAGATTGAACATGCTATACAGAAGATCCTTAAACAGGAAGGTAAAGAACTCAAAGGAGCTTCAGGAATTCCCTGAAGCTGAGCAGATTCACTAGGCCCCTCCCTGCTAGAGTAAGCAACAGAAGCTGAGATTCCCTCTTGGGCAATACAGCTGCCAACAAGACTCTAAAACCAGACTGGTTGGCTGGAAGAAGCAGAAACCCACTGAGCCACCTGGAAGAGGTTTAGACCAACTGGGGTACCTGGAAAGGACACTCTCCAACCTGGTGAGCCGACTGCATGCGGTGTGCAGTGTGCTCTAGGTTCCCAGCTTTGTGAACTGACACCCCATGCTGGGCTGGTCCTTGGGGATGCAGCTGTCTTTGAGTCACTTCTACTCCTGTAAGTAATCCCCTCACCCATATTCCTGTAAGTAACTCCAACAGAAGTCATGAGCCACCAAATTGGGCTTTGGTGGTATCCATACTTTGGTCTGTTGTGGATGCCCTATCTGGGGTGAATAGATGTGTGTGTTGTGTCTCCTCAGAAAAGGTTTTGTCACACAACAGGTTCCAGAAGCCAGATCCGCTGAGCTGATGGCGCACACCTGTAATTTCAGTACTCAGAAGATAGAGGCGGAAGGATCAAAAGTCTACAGCCCTGGAATTCTAAGTGTGAGCCATCTTGTCCGGCTTCCAGTATTTCCCCAGCATTTCCAACAGTCTGGTTTTTGTTTTTGTTTTTGTTTTTTTATAAGCCAGAGCAAGTGAGGCAGTTTTTAAGAATGATTCCTCTAGAGCTGGGTGGTGGTGGCGCATGCCTTTAATCTCAGCACTTGGGAGGTAGAGGCAGGCAGATCTCTGAGTTTGAAGCCAACATGGTCTACCAAAGTTAGTTCCAGGACAGGCTCCAAAGCTACAGAGAAACCCTGCCTTGAAAAACCAAACCAAACAAACAAACAAACCAAAAAAAGGAAAAAGATTCCTCTAGTTCCTAGTTATTTGATGGCAGACTTCACTGTTTTATAAATATGCTATACACATACACACACACACACACACACACACACACACACACACACACACACACACACACACACACACCAGGCAGAGCTTATGGGCATAGACCTTTAGTCCCAGCACTCTGAAAAACAGAGGCAGGCAGATCTCTGTGAGTTTGAGGCCAACAGGACAGGAAGTTTCCAAGCCAGCCAGTGCTACATAGTGGGACCCCGTCTCAAACAACAAAGACACACACACATACACACACACACACACACACACACACACACACACACACACACATTGCCTCCTAGAACACCACTGTACAGAACTTTCAGTGCTAATGAAAACGTTTTAAACATTCACTGACTGAAAAGCAGCCACTAGCCAACAGGACGTCATTCCTGAGTCCTTGGAACGTGACTAGTGAGACTGAAAAATTTAAATTTCAACTGATTTTTTATAAGTTCAAATTTAGATAGTCACACATGGCTAATATTTACCATGCTGGACAGTGTGGTACTAGAGGCTGGGAGTGAGAGAATGGGATTCCTTGCAAAGAAAGAGAGGATCTCACTTTGATCTCAGGCTGGCCTTGAACTCACAACAGCCATCCTGCCTTGGGCTCAGAAGTGCTGAGATCACAGGGGCACAGCCCACCTGGCTCCTCAGTAACTCTGATGGTAACATACATTATCCCTAAATTTTGTCTCGTAAATGAATGTCTGATTCTTAATTCAATGCTGTATTGGTTGCCGTAAGAGACTCCCAGGGAGAAGCCTACCAACTGCTTTAACACCATTTCCTGTTTCTTTCTCCTGAGTCATTAAGTTAGTCGCTAGGATGATTGTTAGAAACTAGACGACACTATTACAATACTTCATATCTCATCTAATGGTCATCAACGCAACCAGTAACTTCAGCTTACGTGCTTTTTCTGAAGATTTGTTCAGCACCACCTGAGAGCGTTTTTCCGCTTTAACCAGTTGACTTTCCTCTTGTAGGTGTTCCTTTGCATCTGGGTTGACCTTGCCCTCCTTGCACTTGAAGGTGGTCATGGAGGTGGGCCCCCCTCCCACGTCCCCGTCTTGTCCCGGCGTATTGTTTGGGGGTTCGTCCTTAAAAGAGTCTTCAATCAGATCTTGCCAGCTGTAAGTCATGAGATTGAGGAGTCCCACAGGGAAAGCTGTGCCATCCTGAGCATACTTCTTCAATGTCTTCTCGAGTTCGTAGAGTATTTCGGAAGCGATGACTTTGTACTCTTCAAAGAGGGTCTTATACAAGTAGGTTTTGGAGAATTGGGAATCCAAAGGACTCTTGTGAGTACTAGGAGGTTCTGAGAGGATGAGTGTGCTGGACTTGTCTTCTTCTACAGGTATAGCTGTGTTCTCTTGGGCATCCGTTGGTTCTGGTTCTGTCAATGGTTCAAGTTTGTGACTGTAAAGGATATGTACAAGTATTAGAAAGATCTTACGTGCTTTAGCCTGTTCGTTTGAAGTCTAGATATCCATCTTGAAATATATAACACCTGGGGCTGGAGAGATGACTCAGAGATCAACAGCACTGGTTGCTCTTCCAGAGGTCCTCAGTTCAATTCCCAGTATCCACAAGGTGACTCACAACTATCTATAGTGATATCTGGTGCCCTCTCCTGGTATGCACATGCAGGCAGGACGCTGAATACATAATAAATAAATAAATCTTTAAAACATGTATAACACCTTTTATAAAGCGGCTTACTAAAACTTTGCTATCGTCAGAAATAAAAGTTGTAGAAGAACGCTTTATAGGTGTGGTGGTTTGAAAGGGAATGGCCCCCATGGGACCATGGAGAGGTGTGGCTTTGTTGAAAAAGGTGTGGAGTTGTTGGAGGAAGTTGTGATGTGGAAGGGGTTTATGCTTAAGCCATGCCCAGGGTGGCACACAGTCTCCTTTTGCAGCATGCAGATCACGATGTAGGACTCTCAGCTCCTTCTCCAGCACCATGTCTGCCTGCCTGCTGCCTTGAAGATAATGGACTAAACCTCTGAAACTGTAAAGCCAGCTTCAACTAAATGGTTTTCCTTTGAAGGAGTTGCCGTGATCGTGGTGTCTCTGCATAGCAATAGAAGCCCTAACTAAAGACAGAAGGGAATGAAATTTAGTAACAAATGCTATATCCACACAGTGAGCTATTCAGAAGAAGGCTGTCATAACACTATATTTCTAGTTTGCATAATTGTACCTGTAAAACGATTGCAAATACATGATATGTCTGTGTAGGTATATGTGAGGGTACAGCATATTTGGTAGAAAAAAGACTAAGCACGTGAATTGGGGAATTACGGAGTCATTGCATCTTTCCTTCTTTAAGCCAGGTGTGATGGTGCGTGCCTCTATTAGAGAGACTTGGTCTCAAAATAGTAATAATAACTATATAAAATTTTCTTTTTATACTTCTCAAAATTTTACAATAAAATATGTATTATATTTATACAGCATGACCATAAACTGTGTTTTGTTTATTCATTTGTTTAATTACAAGATACTACAGAGACCTCTTTCTCCTGCGATCTTGCCCTGCTCATTGATCCCCAGGGTGAGTTCAATATTCACAGTTTATGGTTCCCTTCATCTACTTTTTTTTTTTTTTTTTTTTTTTTGGTTTTAGGTTTATTTTGTAAATTTATTTTATGTGTTTTTTTTTTTTTTTTTTTGGTTTTTCAAGACAGGGTTTCTCTGTGACTTTGGAGCCTGTCCTGGAACTAGCTCTTGTAGACCAGGCTGGCCTCAGACTCACAGAGATCCACCTGCCTCTGCCTTCCGAGTGCTGGGATTAAAGGGCGGCGGCCACCACCACCTGGCTGGTGGCTCTTTCTTAACAAAACACTTAATATCACACCTTTAATTCCAGCCCTTTGGAGGTAGAGGCAAGCAGATCTAGGTGAGTTCAAGGCCAGCCTGGTCGACAAAGCAAGTTCCAGGACAGCAAGGGCAACACAGAGAAACCCCGCCTCAAAACAACAACAATAATGATAACAATAAATAAACCTTTTCTGTATAAAGTTAGTGATAGAGACCTTTTGGAAGGGCTGAGGGTGTGACTTTTAGAACAAACACTCACCTGAGATGCTCCAGGTTCTGTACTAGATCTTCAACGCTGGAAAAATACAGATAAGAGTGACTGTATTTCCATTTCAGAAATAAGTGAATTATAGTGTGTAGGAGGTCAAAAGACAAAATGTCTAGTTCCATTATTTCATCTTTCCGAGCTTGACAGATTCCATCATTGTCAATCACAACAAGTCTTTATTAAGCATATTTTTTACTCCAAGTGCAATTGAGAGGAAAGAGGATAACCAGTTAGGGGTGTGGTGTCGCGTGTCTCTAACCCCAGAACTTGGCGGCCAGAGGCAGGCAGATCTCTGTGGGTTTGAAGCCAGGCTGGCCTACAACTATCAATTACAATGCCAGAAAGCAACGGAAAAATAAAGGTAGGAAATGAGGCGCAGAGTGCCAAGTTAGGAAGAGAACAGCAATCTACAGAGCGAGTCTCATCACAAAGGTGCTATTTAAGTGAAGAGTCTAAGAGAATAGGGATGGGGGGCATGCAGAAAGCGGAGGTGACATGTAGGGCAGACTCCCCAAGGCAGGAATAGGGTTTGCTGCAGAATCATGAAGAAGGCAGTGACTGGCGAGTGTGAGGAACACGGTTAAGTCAGCCATTGAGTGCAATTGCTGTGGGGTCTGTAGTGGTGATTCCTGGGTGTAAACCCTGGTGTTCAGTGTAGCACAGTAAGCCTTTGCAAATGTAAAGTAAGAGCAGAAGGTGAAGAGGAATTCCAAATGTTTTACTCATCCTTCGCCTTTGGGTCCAAGAATGGGTCTTTCTGTGTTTCCTTTTTCCATCTTCTTACTTTAGGTTTTAACTAAAACAAAAGAAGAGTTTGTGATTACCGTGTGGAGGCAAATGCTGGCCAAAGGTGAATTTGCTTTCAAAGAGTGAGTTAGAAGAGCTGGGGACATCACCGAGTTGGTAAAATGCTTACCAGGAATGCATGAAGTGCTGAGTTCAAGCCTTAGAACCTGTGTATGTATGGTGGCAATGCTCCTGTAATCCCAGTGTTAAGGGGCTGAAACAGTGTCAGGGAGGGTCCTTGGGGTCCAGTATCCAGCCAGCCTAACCTATTTGATGAGCTCCAGGCCAGTGAGACCCTTTCTCAGGAACCAAGATGGGGCCAGAGAGATGGCTCAGTGACTAAGAGCACTGACTGCTCCTCTAAAGGACCTGGGTTCAGTTCCTAGCACCCACAATGTGGCACACAACCATCTGTAACTCCAACCTCTCTGAGTATTAGGCACACATGTGGTCCACAGGCACACATACAGGCAAAACACCCTTACCTATAAAGTAAATAATTTTTTAAAAGGTAGACAGTGTTTAAGGATTGGCACTTCTGAGCACCACACACATGTATGTGCACACACATACACTCAGAGCAGCATAGTACAACATTAGCACTCATGTGTGTAATATGCGCATGTGCACACGCACACCAATTATACTTTGTTGGGACTGGAGGGATGGCTTGGCAATTAAGATCAACTCACAACTATCTGTGACTCCAAGGGATCCAACACCCCCACACAAACATACATGAGGTCAAAACACCAATGCATGTAAAATTTAAAAAACAAATAATTCTTTAAAAATCTATACTTTGTTGACATGAGCAAGAGTATTACCTGATCAAAGAAATATATGGGCCCAGGGCAAGAAGGTGTGGTGTTAATAAATCCCTCCATTCTGCCATGAGACCTGTGAAGGGAAAATTTGAGATCTGAAAATGAATTTCCACGACTATAGACGATAATCCAAAGCGCTCAGTGGTTTTTAGGTTCAGATGTTTTATTTTCAGTGAAGTGTACACAGCTCTGGGATGGACACCATTGGTATTTTATCTTCTCCCTCATTTCTTCATGGGGTCCCAGACACCACACAGATGCAACAGATGCAATAAGTGCTGCAGGGAAACTAAATGATGCATGACTACCATTGCAGTCAGTCTCGGTTTGGAAACTGCTGACGTTTTGGATCAAGTAATTCTTTGTACTAAGGCCCTCCTTGTGCATTATAGGATGTCAGGCAGACCAGGCGTGTGGCTCACACCTTTGATCTCAGCATCTGGGAGGCAGCGGGAGGCAGATCTCTTGAGAGTTCAAGACCAGTCTGATCTATATAATGAGTTTCAGGCCAGCCAGGGCTACAGAGTAAGATTAATAGTAATAGTGGTAGCAATGTAATAATAATAATAGTAATAATAATAACAATAATAATAAAAGGTCTCACAGATGCAAGCCTGGCCTCCACCTACCAACCTACCGGGTGTGAATATATGCACTTTATTCTAGGACTGGCACAATCCAAGAGAAAAGGCCTGCTGGTCTACCATGAGTCTACTGTGGGTCTACCTTCAGTAGATGCACTGGAAGACTGAGCTGTTAGTCAGTGTGAGAACCAGACACTGAACTGTGGTCCATCAGTTATTCTTATCACTGGTAGAAATTAAGAGAGTTTTCCAGCCGAACAGTATTGGCATACGCTTTTAATCCCAGCACTTGGGAAGCAGAGGCAGGTGGATCTCTGAGAGTCTGAGGCTAGTCTGGTCTACAGAATAAGTTCCAGGACGGTCAGAGCTGTTATACAAGAAACTCTGTCTCAAAAAACAAAAAATAGACAAACTAACAAAATTAAGAGAGTTTTCCAACCTCACTCAAGACCAGTCCCTCATTGGGACTGGAGAAATGGTTCAATGGTTAAGAGCACTTGCTGCTCTTGCAAAAGATTGGGGTTCAATTCCCAGCATCCACATAGTAGCTCACAACCATCTGTAACCCTAGTTCCAGGGGATCTGAGACCCTCTTCAGGCCTCTGAGGGCACCAGCATGCATGTGGTGTGTATACAAATATGCAAACAAATGTTCGTATACATAAAATTTTTTAAAAAGATGAACCTTTCTTAAAGAGAAACTTTTAGGGCAGGTGTCAAGGCCCATCATTTAATCCCAGCACTCAAGAAGCAGAGGCAAGTGAATCTCTGTGAGTTTGAGGCCACCTTGATCTATAGATTGAGTTCTGGGCCAGCCAGAGATGCTCAGGTAGACCCTGTCTAAAAGACAGACAGAGAGACAGGGGGAGAGGAAAAGTAAAGACAAAGAAGTCTGTGCTAGCCTGTCACCAGACATGAACATAAGAGGTGAATGTTAATTGGTGAATCAGGAGGAACTTAACCCAGGCAGGCACCTGGGGCCAGAAGCTACTGCCGAGGATGCTAGTTTACTAGTTCTTTAGAGGCAGCAGGAAGCGATCTGTGACTGCATCAATCATCCTAGCACTCAGGAGAGCGATGCAGGAGGACCGCTGTGAGTTCAAAGGCTGCCTGAGTCACATAGCAAGCACTGTGTCTCTAGAGTGATAGCTCAATACCCTGTCTTGGGAAAACAATAATGAAAGAACGACAACAACAAAACAAAACAGGGAAAGGTCAGAGAAGCAACACAGACTTTCCGGTGCTGAGACCCTGAATGGAAGCTTGCCATCAAGTCTGATGACCCGAGTTCCCTCGCTGGATCCCACATGTGGAAGGAAAGAACTGACTCCTGAAGGTGGTCCTCTGATCTCCACAAGTGTGGTGCATGTGCAGACATGTGTGCACGCACACACACACACACTTAAATATATGTAATAAAATGTTTTAATGAGAATCACATGTGAATTATATTTTTTAAAGACACTTAGCCAGCTTCATCTTCCACCTGTGCCAGCCTAGAGGCATCGACAGCTAGAGATTAAGTCTTCAACAATATCTGTGCACCTTACAAAGTGCCTGCGCGTCCTCTTCCGGTGTCTGTGGGCACCTGCACACACGTGCACAACCCCCACACAGGCTATGCAGAATTAAAAATAAGCCTTTCTAAAAGAAGCCTTTTTAAAAGAAAGTACCTATGTGTACTGGGGGATAGAACACTTGTTTGGCACTCACAAGAAAGGCTTAGGTTCAATTCTTAACATCACACACGCACACACACACACACACACACACACACACACACACACACGAGAGAGAGTAGGGAGAGACGGGAGAGAGGAGAGAGAGAGAGAGAGAGCATAAATAACCTACTTTCTGCCTCATCTGCTTCAAGTTTTGAGAGCTCCATTGGTTCTGACATAGAACACCTGCCCACCAAAGTTCCATTTAGAACTTTCAGCTCAGCTGATTCCACGCTAGACCTTTATCTTGCTCCGCCTTAGTCACTCAGAGCTAAGGTTGGAGACCCTAGTAAGCTCCTGGAACCTTGTGAAAGTAATAACAGTGAAAAACTGAAAAACAGCAGTTTACAACACACAGCATTGGAGCAAGGCTTCGGGGGGTGGGAGCTATAAGGCTTCTTCCATTTGAAAAAGTCAGAAAAGCAAGCAGTAGGTGTGTAGACAGAGACTGTCTGCTCATTCCCAGCCACCCAAAATAATCACACCGAAACGGTATTAATTAAAACACTGCTCGGCCTATTAGTTCAGGCTTCTTATTAACTAACTCCTACTTCTTAAATTAACCCATTCCTATTATTTGTATTTTACCATGAGGTTGTGGCCTACGGGTAAAGTTCCGGCTGGTGGCTGGTGTCTTTCTCCTTGGCAGCTACATGGCGTATTTGTGACTCCTCTTTCTCTGCTTGGAATTCCCACCTTGCTCTATTCTGCACTACCATATACACAAGGAAGCTTTTATTAAGCAATGGAGCCTACAGACAAGAATCCCACATCACGTGTGTGTGTGTGTGTGTGTGTGTTGGGAGGTGGGGTCATGATACAGAATGGTTGAGGCATAGTCTAGCATTGGGTAGAATAAGCTGCTGTTGAAGAAGGATCCGATTTATCCTGGAAGAGCTACCAGGGGAACATGGGATCTTCAGACACTAAATCTGCCAAAGTAGGGTATGGGGTCTAAAACAGAAGGATTAATTCAAACTCTACATGAAGAACCTCTTAAATAAGAGCTAGGTGTTTCACCATCTGTCATGGGAGAGAGGCAAGAAACAACAACAACAACAACAACAACAGGGGTTTCCCTGGGCAGTGGTGGCACACGCCTTTAATCCCAGCACTTGGAAGGCAGAGGCAGGCGGATCTCTGTGAGTTCGAGGCCAGCCTGGTCTACAGAGCTAGTTCCAGGACAGGCTCCAAAGCGACACATAGAAACCCTGTCTTGAAAGTCCAAAAAAAGAAAAAAAAGCAAAACAAAAAATGAGCAAATAAAATAAAACCTAGAAGTTTCTCAAAGATAAATTCTTCTCTTAAGGAGCTCATCAAATGATCAGGAAGCTTTACTACAAATGAAAGAATGTTAGCCCCTGAGCACCGAGCCCTGATAGGGCAGTGATTCTCAACCTTCCTGATGCTGCAACCCTTTAATACAATTCCTCAGGCTGTGCTAACCCCCAACCATGAGATTATTTTTGCTGCTGCTTCCTAACTGTAATTTTGCTGCTGTTGTGGATTGTAATGTAGATAGCTCTGTTTTCTGATCATCTTAGGTGACCTGTGGGTTACAATAGAGTGTGTGACAATCAAGAGATGTTGCCTTCTGTACCTAACAACACAGATGCACTGTATCACATGTGTGGAGGCAGACTCCAGGATTCCTCAAGCTGGTGGCTGATACAGTCGCTCATCATGGGCTCAGCATCATTGCATCTTTCTGTTCTGCGTTCTGGATAACTTATCCCAGAATAAGAAATCAAAAGCACCTGGGTGGTGGTGGTGCACGCCTTTAATCCCAGCACTTCAAAGGCAGAGGCAGGTGGATCTCTGAGTTCGAAGCCAGCCTGATCCACAAGAGTTAGTTCCAGGACAGGCTCCAAAGTTACAGAGAAACCCTGTCTCGAAACACCAACCAACCAACCAAACAAACAAACCAACGAACAAACAAACAAAAACCACTATGACTAAAAGCAACTGGGGAAGGGAAGGGTTTATCTGTCTTACACATCCAGATCAGAGTCAAAGGCGGAAATCCAGACCTAGGTACTCAAGCAACACTGCTATTGGCTTACTCAGCTTGCAACACCCCCATCTCTCTTCCCCTCCCTCCCTCCCTCCCTCCCTCTCTCCCTCTCTGCTGGGGGAGAATTCAAGACACAGCTTTTCTGTGTAGCCCTGGCTGTCCTAGAACTCCCTCTGTAGACCAGGCTGGCTTCTGACTCATAGATCTGTCTGCCTCTGCCTCCAGAGTGCACTACCACCACTCAGCTTTTCAGTTTGCTTTCTTACGTCACTCAGGACCACCCGGGTAAGGGTGTCATTGCCTGCAGTGGCCTGGGACCTTTCACATCAACTATTTCATCAAGAAAAATGTCCCTAGATTTGCCTACAGGTAAATATGATGAGGCATTTTCTCAGCTGAAGTTTCCTCTTCTTAGATGTCTCTAGCTTGTGTCAAGTTAGTAGCAGAGAGGTCATTTGCACAGAGATTATGGGGGAAGGTAAGGAATTCTACTGCTAAGCATCTAACATCTTCCAACTGCACAAAGAAGCTAATACTACATTGCAAGGTAAAAGTAATTTAAGATGTCATTGGATGATGTTAATATATGAAAAATAGGACTGGAGAGATGACTCAGCACTTAAGAGCACTGGCTGCTCTTCCAGAGGACCCAGGTTCAATTCCCAGCACCCACATGGCCATTCACAACTGTCTGTAACTTCAGTTCCAGGGGATCTGACACCCTCCCAGAGGTATACATGCAGTCAAAACACTAAGGCACATAAAATAAAAACAAATAAATCTTTTAGAAGAGGAGATAGGGAAAATAGTGCAAAGACATGTTTCATTCCAGAAAAGTCCACTTCAGACATTAAGGAGAAATTACAAGTCGCCGGTGAAATGGGCTTGAGATCTGTGATCCTCAAGGAAGGCAGTGAACCCCAATTTCTCCTTCATATCCTTTGTTTGTATCTCCTAGCAAAACTGTTCCTGTTGTCGTGCCAGTGGCTTCTAAGATCCGAGGCCAGCGCTATCTATGACTGTGCCATTTACTCCTCCAGAGCAGTTGATATGCCCGGGCAACCTTTATTTCCTGAAACATCGCATCTCTTCACTTGCGTTAATCATTTTCTGTGGCATCTTCTGTCTGCCCATTCCTTTGAAGTCTCCTTGACAGAACTCTTTCCCCCTCCACACACACACACACACACACACACACACACACACACACACACACACCTTGAAAACAGCAGAGCCCTGCCACACTTAGGCCCACTGTATCCCTATCTCTAGATCCACGTTTCTCTAGGACTGCTGGGTATCTGTGTCTGCTGCCCTGCAACCATCTCAGACTTAGGATAGAGGCAGCTTATCTACCCTCCGACTTGTCCAAAGCCTTCTCAGCCTACTTCATTCCTTATCTCAGCAAGCGCTAACACTCTCCACCCAGTTACCCTGCCCAGAAACCTGGGTGCCATTCTGCTCCCCACGCTAAAGTCAAGGACTGTTACCTTCTCTTAATTACACTTCAGAAACATTTTTTTTTTGTCATTCAGCCTCTTATTCTGGTCCCCAATTATAGCCTTTGCTTAAAATTCCATCAATATCGTTACCAACAGTTAATTATCAATTCTCGGGTCCTCCTAGCCTCTACCATCTCTGTTCTAAAGAGACTTAAAGATCTTATTGCTGAGTAACGTTTTAAGAATGGGTGTTGTATTACCTTTGAAAATTAATACCAAGGCGCAGAACCCCATATCCTCATTGGTATTTCATAACGAATCAGAAGGACTCTTTAACTTCAAAAAGTAGAAACTACCACATTTTCAGTGTAAAGCCAGGGTCTCTTCAGATGAGGGCCACTGGGTTAGAATCTAGACAGCAGCAGAGAGACCTTTCACAGAGCAAAACGACTACATCATTCCTCAGCTTGAGAGCGTATCCACATAGTCTAGATGGGGCTCATTTTCCTGGCTATGTAATAGTCACTGTGTTGGCCGGCTCTAGATGTTTCTATCTTCTTCTATTAGGCATTTGAATTTTTTCCAATTATTAAAATCTAAGTATTCTTTGTTATGTAATAAAGACCATACTCTTTAGGGCTCCCTATAACTTGTCACCATTTGCATATTCCTCGGCCAGAACTCAGCCTGGAACATTTCATTTCTTTCATGCCCATGGTTTTCACCTGAACCGCTCTTTCCTAGAAGACCTTCGCATGACTTGTGTTAGAGAGCCAATGTCCCTCTCACCAGCTACATCCGTGTGTTCAGGCTCCATCTTCCAATGTGGCTCCAGCAGGAGACAGACTTGCTAAGGAAGAAATCAATACCAAATGAGGTCTCAAGAATGGTGCTCTAATCCTACAGGACATTTTTCTTACAATACGGTCCAGTCACAGCACATCTAAGAAGGGCATCTGCCAGCCAAGCAAGGGACCACACAGCATCTAACCCTGACTGTAGCAGGCTTTTTCCTTTGGGCCACCAATCACCTCCCAAATCATGACACGGATGGAGGCTGTGAATGTTCGGCCTTCGGATTAGGCTTGTTTCTTCCTAGCTCCTATAATTTAACCTGTTTTACCTTGGGGTTGTTTGCCTTTCTTTCCTTATGTATATCTTACTTTCATTGCTTCTTATGTCTGCCTAGCTCGAGGTTGTCTGGCTCTGGCCCTGGGGTGTCCCTCTCTGTCTCCCTCATTCTCTTCTCCTTCCTCCCCTTGTCCCTCCTCTCCATCTTTCTCCCCTCCTCCTAGATTTCTCCTCCTACTTACTCGTTCTGCTTGCCACTCCCATCTATCCCTCCCCTGCCTAGCTATTGGCCGTTCAGCTTTTTGTTAGGCCAATCAGGTGCCTTAGGCAGGCAAGGTAAAACAAATGTAACACATCTTTACATAATTCAACAAGCCAATGTATCACATCTTTACAACCCTAGCAAAGGCAGCAGAAATAAATGTAACGTACCTTCACATCATTGAAGTGATATTCTGAAGCATGAACAAATGTAACACATCTTTACATAGTTTAAAATAATATTCTACAGCCCTTGATGGAATCTTATTTTAGGCTTCTCTCCCCACAACGGTGAAGAAATAGAATTCTATTGTTTAAACTACCCAGTGAGTGTTATTTGTTACATTAACCTGGGGTAGTTAAGTCACTCCAGAAATGGCTTAAGTGATCACAAGTTGGGATGGAAGTGACAGGCACATCATTGGTAGAGGTCCAGACCACCAAGGTCATTTCGTTTAATCCACCCTCATGCCCTTCTCTTTCATTTTTATTTACTTACTGAGACGAGATCTTGTTGTGTATCCCAGGCTTGCTTTGAATTCAAGACCCTCCTGCCTCCACCTCCCAAGCGCTGGGATTGTATGTACCACCATGTCCGGGTTCTCTCTCGTTTTATTTTATGTTAG